ACTCAAGGCAGTGCCAGGCAGGCACAGCGTGGCAGATCAGTGAATTCCATTCAAGAAGCACAGCACAGCTTGTCCTCGCCCCATGAGGACGGGTTCCCCATCAGGCTCTCTCACCAAAGCCTTCTGGAGGCATTGCCTTTRTCACCAATAACCAATTACATCATCTGCTTTTTCCTCCCCAGCACAGGAATCAAACATCTCCMTTCCCAAACCCTCACCAATCCGGATTGCAAATCGGGTTTCAATGCAGGGATTCACACCCAAGGGCTGGTGTCTCATCCCACACCACCCACATCACCGGGATCGCTGGCCCCACGTCCCACAGCAGCTTCTGTGGGATCTGAGCCATCAGGGAACGGTTCTGCAATCACTGCACTGCACTGGGCAGAGAAATGGCACAGCAGCACAAATCAGGATGGATGTGAACGCTGAGCACCAGCAGTGACACAGCAAGCACTCACTGCACAACTCCAGGCTGTGCAGACACAAAAGCTCAGCCTTTCCAAACCTGGCTTCTCCCCRTGCCAACACAAGGAAACCTCAGCCAGTGCAACAGGAGGAGCTCGYACGACTCCAGGATTTCTATTTTCCTGAGAAATGACACAAAACCACAGAGGGTTCCCACTCTCTGAAGCTCCATGAGCAGTTTAGGATTGACAGCACTCAGCAGCCATCGCAGAGCATTGCAAAGAACTGGAGCAACCTCAGAATCAAATATCAGCTCTAGAACAACACGATCACATTCAGTACAAAACGACATTCATCACTTCCGCAGCGCTTTCTGGGGGGAGGACGGCGTTGCCTACCTGCCTCTCTGGAAATTTGCATGAAGGACTCGACTCCTTTTTCTCCATAATTCCCTTCAGATGCCAAAGTGGATACATAATTCCATCCCAAAGCTTTCACAATGTCCACCATTGCTTGTGCTTGGAAGGAATCTGGAGGAACCACCCGTGAGAAGAAATCATAGCGCCTGTCATCGCTCAACTCTGGTGCAGTTGAGGCATAACTGATTTGWGGGATCTGTAGAAAAAAACAATTTCTGATAAATACACACATTCACAGACTCACGGCACTTCTCGCAGCAGCAGCTAAAGCCCGTGGCTTCAGCTGGGCTCTGGCTTTGCTGGGTGCAGCTGCATTTCTCCACCACGTTCCTTTACAACRGACCAGCCAAAGAAAAAAACCTTTGTGCTGCCTTCAGGTTACCCAAATAAAAACTGTAGACAGCTCTGGGTGTGCCCATCCATCATTCCTTGCTTTAAGGCAGTCAGGTACRGCACACAAACCATTTCCATCGCTGCCCCTGGCTCTGGTTTTACTGGGATTTGGGACCCTGAATGCAACCCAGATTAACTCTACACCTGCCAGGGCTGCTGAGAGCCAGGGACACCCTTCCTCAGCCTGTGGAGGATGGAAACCCCAGCCCTAAGGAAGAGCGGGGTTTTATTATTACTGATGAAGAGCAGGGTTTTATAGCTCCTGATGAAGAGCAGGGTTTTATTTTTCCTGATGAAGAGCAGGGTTTTGTTGTTCCTGATGAAGAGCAGGGTTTTGTTGCTCCTGATGAAGAGCAGGGTTTTTACTGTTCCTGAGGAAGAGCAGGGTTTTATAGCTCCTGATGAAGAGCAGTGTGAAGCTGCTGAGCACAGATTTCTCTGTCCCACGGGGCAGTCTCAGCTCTGTCCCCACACAGTCACTGCCTCTCCTGCTCTGGGCAGGGTGAGAGGGGCCGGGCAGTGACACCAGAGCTCTGCTGGGGCTGTTTGCCCTGGTGACAAAGGACCCTGAGCACTTTCTGAGCTGACAGGATGTTAACCCTGAGCCCAACTGTTTGAGTAACAATCTGGGACTGCTCCTTAAATTAAGGAACCTGCCATAATCCTGACTGGAGTGAGGGGCAAGCAGAGCTGTGCAGGGCACACAGAACGATGGCACACAACAGTCTGAGCAAAGGGCAGCACCTGGGGCCTCACTGCACACCTCTCCTGCACAGCATCCCACCAGGATTTATCATGCTGCAAGCATTTATCAGCTCTCCTGSCTCCTCAGAAAAAGCAGCGTTGTATTTGCCCAGGAGCAAYGCTGCAAAGAGCTCAGCACCTTTGGGTGCACRGAGAGCAGGGGCAGAGCAGAGCAGATTTCCCCAGAATTCACATTGTTCATTGTAGCTGTCCATCTGCACCTCCCACAGCACAGGAAAAGCTGTCACCCCACGCAAAATCACTGCTGGAGACCCACAGGAGTGAACAGAGAAATGAGCTCTGCATGGAAAAACTATCAACAGCTGTAATTCAAC